GGGCCAATTATAAATTACAAGAATGTGAAATATAAGTAAAAATATATTTTGTGTAAAATGGTTTCCTTACTCCAAATTCCTCGTTAATGTTCCCTTTCCCTTGCTTTTGCAAAGCCAACTCTTGCTAAGACTTTTGCTCTGTAAATGAACTGGAATTAAATAGGCGCTAGATTATTTGTTCACATTTGCCTTGAAAAACCATGTTCTTACTTTCAATTTAAGCTCATCCCCTCCCCTCCCCCGCTTTAAAAAGAACCAAGCGAGACCTGAACGCAGGAAAAGATCGCCTCTCTTTTGCTGACATTCAGCTTGCTCTCCTTCGAGACGAGGCTTCACGGGCGTGTGCTGACCCTCCCTCGTGTGTTTATGTAGGCCTGAAAGTCACAGTGTCCGTCCTGCAGGCAGCAGCAGGGTCTCCTCTGACTACGCAGGATGGCAGCATCTAGGGAAACAGTGGGGCTTTGTTTTGTTTTGTTCTAAGAAAATAAGTTTTTAAATCAGTACTTTGGGTTTTATACTAGGCTGCCTCAAGTGCCCATCCTAGATCGGGCTATGTTGCTGTTTCTGTGTTGGAGAATTTTCTTGTATTAGATGGCTGGCTGGCTGTATTTATATGTATATACTTCCTGTGTACATGGGTATGTATGAGAGAGAGAGAGAGAGAGAGTGTGTGTGTGTGTGTGTGTGTGTGTATGTGTGTGTGTGTGTGTGTGTGTGTGTAGCAGGAGGAGCAAAGGGGTTAGATCATCTTAAGTGAGGGACAGGATTTAAAGTTTGATAATGTGATAATACTAGACTTCCTTCGAGAACCGTTAAAAAAAAAGATGACTATATTCTAAACATATCTGCTGTATCTCATTGAAGTACATTGTTCCTTTACTGAGAAGTTATTGTAGACATTTTTAAGATTTAATACTTTAAAATCTGGATTTTATTTTAATATTTTATCTCATTTATAGCATTAACCAATTAAAAACTTAAGGCTATTAATTTATTGCCCACACCTACATTTTCCCCCCTTTCACTAGACGTTCTGTGAAGGGATCCAGTCCAGGGTTGTATCAGATCCTGTTGTACCTTCAAGGCCCTCTCTGTTCATTGGAGACCTACTCAAGCATGAACACATAGCTCACCTGTATTAGTCACCTGCCTAGGGGTAAGCCCCGTGCCGGATGATGGGCTTGAGTTACTCAGTCCTTAACAGTCCGGTGAGGTGCTGGTCGGTGATGTTAGGTACCATCTAGTTAGTTCACAACCGAACGGAGCTCTCCCCAGCCCTGCTCGACCCTCACGTGCATGGCTGTGCTTGAGCCTATTCGTCTAGCGATAGTCCATCTCATTAAGGGCCTTGCTCTTGTTCAATCTTGTTCACTCTCTAGTTTTCCAAGCGTGGTGTCCTCCTTCAGGGATTGGCTGCAGCCTGTGATGAAGTAGATACCATTATTGTCTGCACTTAAGAGAGCATGAGCGATGGAGAAGTTGGATATCACTCCCCATGGTCACCCAGCTCTCACCAAGCAGCAGAACCAGCTACCGACTCATCTGTCGAATTCCTCTGCGTCTTAGCACTAAATGATACTTCTGCGCCAGTGGAACTAGTATGGCTGCCTAGAGCCGTTTCCCCCTTCATTTCATTTTAAAATAAGCTCCTTGGGTCTAGCTCTTGGAAGCCCCGTTACTAGCCCCTTCCCCTCGAGATAGGAAGTGGAAGCCCGGGGGACTGGGTTCTGAGGCATCTCTGCTGCAGGTGTGTGTGGACGTCGGCAGTGGTGCCCACACCAGGCAGAGCCGGAAGGAGCAGCCCCGATGATCGTCGCAAGTTCGTTCCATTGCTGAGACTTCCCTGTGCACCACGGTTTATCTCTGCGTCTGCCTCTTAGAATTTTAACTCTTGCTATGGAAATACCGCCAGTGAATGCTCCTTTCTAGAAATTGGCATTAAGATGCTGAGACGGCAGTGAGAGTCCGGGCTTGGTTTACTGCTGTTCTTAATCAGTTCAGCCCGCGTGCGTCCTGCACATGATAGGCCCGGCACGGTACAGCTGCCACCCTCAAGCCAGCTCGTGGGGCACGGTCCCCACCTCTCAGGTCCATGGAAACGTACTTTAAACATCTGATTGCCACCTCCATTTCCTCGCCATCTCCCTGTTGCTTAGGATGGAAGAGACAGCGTCAGTGGGCTGTAGAGACCCAGTGAGGTAGACACGTCTGGTACATCCAGGGATCTATCTACCTGTGGTTTGCGGATTAGAACTTTTTCGCTTTCAGACTTCTGTTGCCCTGGATGAAGCGTTTGTGCCCGAGTGACAGCCGATCCCGGGCCAAAATTTTGTGGCAACTTGAGAAAACCTTGCTTCGGTACCAGGAATAATTATGTAGAATTTAGAACTCTACCCACTTCTCCTCTAACCACTTCCCATGAGGCAGGAGCCGTGGGAGCCTGAAATTGGAACACTCAGAAAATTATAATCGTTCACGGGTGATTTCTGTGGCTTCGTGGGAATTCCTCTCCTGCCGGATCCTCCTCTGCCCCAGAGTCTGGGGTGGCCGCAGTTGGAGGCTGGGGCCCGGATGTCTCTGTTGTGTTGAGGGGGGAAGACCGTGGTCTGGGGATGGCTGCTGTGAGCTTCCCATACTGGTCACAGCCCTGCTCCTCCTGTGCATCCCTGCTGGGAGTGCAGCTTTCTCCAGCCCTCAGGAATCTCCTGGGATCCTCAGAACGGGAGGAGCAGAGTCTCCCACTGACCCCTGGCTAGAAAGTGCACTCTGTGTGCGTGTGAGATTTTAGAATTCACCCATCCTCGGGCCAGGCTGCACATGTCCCCACTTGCTTCACTCTAATCGCGCCCTCTGTAAGAATCCAGTCAACGTGCCTTATCACCTCTCCCACTGACGGTTCCCTGTGTCCGACGTTTGGCCCTGGGAGGAGCTCTGGAGCATCCGTCGTTCCCGGTTTCAGGTCCTCTTCATACATTTCCCCTCAAATCCTCCACAATCTTCCTCAATATCAGAATGGCTTAGGGTGCGGGTGGGGGACTCTAATATATAATCACAGAAGTGGTCAGCACTCTGCTTCTAGTTTCTTGATTGACTTTATTAAACTGAATCTATAGAGCAGCTTATAGAATGCCCTGTTTCATCATTCACGTGATGGTCATGTAATACTGCCTTTATTTTACTCTGCGGTACTTAACATCCACACAGGTCTTCCCTCCTGTTACATAATGTTTCTCCCTTTAAAAAGAAAAATAATACTTATCAAATTTAACCAGTATTCTAACGTTTTAAAAAGAACATTTTACAATGTGTGACTGCCTTTTTACACTATGGGATAAATAAGCCAACTGTGTTCCCTCCCTCCCTTTAAAGTCTAGATTTTGAAAATGATAAAAGTTGGGTGGGGGAAGAAATTGATTATGCATCGTCCCGAGTTCAAAAATGGTTTATGTGAGAACCAGCACTCTTTCAGAACAGATCTAAACAAAAGAAGGAAAACGTGATGCAGAAACATTGAGGGGGGTGGGGGTGGGGGGACTGCAAGAAGGATGAAATGGGAATTGCAGGAGAAAAGAAATTCAACTTTTTAAGCCTGCATATTAAGTGAAGGTTTTTTAATCAGACATGATGCTTCTGTAATATGTATTTTTAATTATATTATTACAAGATCATAAGGCCTATTGATTGGAACATACAATAGAGAGACTCTGACACTTGGTGCCACGTTTCCCTGGACTTGTACATGGATCCTCACAGGAGACGGAAGGACCGAGGTCCCGCGGTGCACTTTCCCCCTGGAGCCCCGGGGTCAGGGCCTTGCTCTCTCGTCTGCTCCTCTCGGGAGTGTGCCTCGCTCTGTGCCCTCCCTCACTGAGTCTGTTCTTACTGGACAGTAGATGCATGTACTCCACGGCGTGTTAACCGGGGATGACTGAGTCTGTTCTCACTGGACAGTAGATGCATGTACTCCACGGCGTGT